AATGAAGTAAAGATGAGGCATACATGCATGTCTTGCATGTGTGATAAGAAGAAGGTCCGGAGTTGGATCCGATGTAACCCTATGTTAGGAGTTCTGGACATCTTGGATAAAGAATCAGAGGTTGCGCTCCGATGAGTCGCGTGTTGGATCACGTGGTCTGGTAACATAAAGGGAGCAAAGAGAAAGAAAAAGGAAAAGACGCACCACAAGTGAGGAGCATTGTAACAGCAACTGTGATAGCAAACTGCGACACTGCAATAGTGACATAGCGATATAGCGATAGCAACCTGTGTTAGTCTTAATCCAACTTTTGCATTAGACTGACTGCAACTTCGTCGAGATGGTGAATACTGTGTTTCCTCATAGTGTTCTACCCCCACAGATAGTTCCCTTCCCATTTGCAATTTAGTTCGCCTTCGCCTACGAGTTTATCGTGTTGCGACTTTAGCTTCCTACCTTCGACTTTCGCGACTTTGTCGTAGATTGTCACCCGACTTCACGTTTACATCGCAAGCCCTCATTTCTTTACAGGTTGCATCCCCCTTTGGCTTAGGTCGAGGTTCTGGGACCCACTTGCTTTATTTTACAGTTGTGATGTCCTTCCCTCACACACAAATTGCACCCTACTTCTCATTTGTTTTAGTTGGGTTTAGGTGTTTGTGTCGGGTGTGCACTCATCAGCATTCCTGTCGACTTCACAGACATTCTAGTTGCCCTACAGAATCGCCCACAAGATCGACAAGCAGTGGTTTCTATGCCAGCTGTGGTTCCCACCATTGTATTACAATTGCCCACAACACTGGGTAGGCCATTGTGCACAACTCATGAACCATTGTAATTGTAATAACACTGGGCACATTGTAATACAATGACAATTACAATGCCGGCCACATTGTAATACAATGACAATTACAATGCTGGCCACATTGTAATTGAAAAAAAAAGTATTCACAGTGAGAGTTGAACCCCTGACCTCATGGCCAGATATTTGCTTATGTAAGCTACACAAGTTATGTGCTCTAACCACTACATTATTGGTGCTTGCTGTTGCTTCAAGCTCAATTGTATATAATGAGTCTGTCCACTACAATATAATATACAAGCTTCTATTACAAATACTTCTAATGCTTTAAAGTAATAGTATTAGATATAATATTAGAATGTGCATTATATCTTAAAAGGATATTAGAAAGAAACATAATGAGAAATAAGGAGTTAGAATGTTATATAATGGAACAGTAACAAGTGTTAGTATTTGTAATAGAAGCTTATATATTATAGTGTAGTGGACAGACTCATTATATACAATTGAGGTTGAAGCAACAGCAAGCACCAATAATGTAGTGGTTAGAGCACATAACTTGTGTAGCTTACATAAGCAAATCTCCGGCCATAAGGTCAGGGGTTTATCACTGTGAACACTTCTTTTTTCAATTACAATGTGGCCGGCATTGTAATTGCCATTGTATTACAATGTGCCCAGTGTTATTACAATTACAATGGCTGGTGAGTTGTGCACAATGGCCTGCCCAGTGTTGTGATGCCCAGTGTTGTGAGCAATTGTAATACAATGATGGCCACCACTAGTGTCTATGCAGCGAGCATTAGAAATGGTCAAGTGAATGCAGACGGTCAGACAAGAGCTCATCGCAGCAGAGAAAAGGACAAGTAGAGCCCGAACCAGAGTTGACCAAGTATGGTCTTTGATGCACAGTATGGTCACTCGTACAGTGTAAGAGATCTGGAGGGAGCATGGGGATGAAAACATCGGACACATTCTTGGATACACCAATAATGCAATACCCACATCCGCCCCTCGCTCATCACCAGAACCAATTTCTGTTCGACCTCGCCCTCCTCATTCACACGTATCTACAGGTCGATTCCCACTATCACAACCCTCCTTCTCACTTGCATCGACTTCTTCGCATCGCAGTCATCCTTACTGTGATGAACGTACACATGAATAAGGACCACGAACTGGCTGACGAATATGCTACAGATGTGGAGGTGATCATTATGTTCGAGGCTGCCCCCGATGACGATGAAGGCTATAATATATCTTGTGGGACAAGAAATGTTAGACGAGAGCTGATGTTACAATGCTCCTCAGTTATGGCACGTCTTTTTTTTTTCTTTTCTTCGTTCCCATTACTTTATCAGACCATGTGATCTACCACGTGACTCATCGGAATGCAACCTCCGATTCTCCACCCAGGCACTCAGAACCCCTAGTCTAGGGTTACACCGGATCCAACTCCGGACCTTTTTCTTATCACACATGCAAGACAAGCATGTATACCTCATCTTTACCTTGTTCTGATACATGACTTGTTATCCCCATTAGTACTGATTATCTCTCACAATCTTACTCAGCTTTCCCATACATATTACTTCCTCGCTGTTACCTTGTCCAGACATCGTTTCACCTTATCTAGCCAATGAATGATCCCGTATTACTGTGTAGTACTGCGGATACCTTTTGTATAAGTAGTTGACCTCGTCAATGTTACGCGGCAGCGAAACACGAGCGTCAAGTCGAGTTGTCACGAGACAAGGTCTTAGTCTAAGACACAAGTCCGTTCAAGTGACACTTCTGGCGATGTCCTCGCACTGAAGGTTGATCAGAGTTCGTTCTTATGACTTGTAGTAGCTGTCTGCTACTAACGGTCGATTTCAGTCAAAGGCAAGTGAAAAGCTGGTTTAATGGTAACCAGGTCGAGATGGGGATCCAGCTCGACAAGGTCGTCTATTTATACAAAAGGTATCTGCAGTACTACGCAGTAATGCGGGATCCTTCATTGGCTAGATAAGGTGAAACAATATCTGGGCAGGGTAACGGCAAGAAAGTAATATGTATGAGAAAGCTGAGTAAGGTCGTGAAAGATAATCAGTACTAATGGGGATAACGAGTCGTGTATCAGAACGAGGTAAAGATGAGGCATACATGCACGTCTTGCATGTGTGATAAGAAGAAGGTCCGGAGTTGGATCCGGTGTAACCCCAGACTAGGGGTTCTGGACATCTGGGTAAAGAATCAGAGGTTGCGCTCCGATGAGTCACGTGTTGGATCACGTGGTCTGGTAACGTAAAGGGAACAAGGAAAAGAAAAAGAAAAGATGTGCCACAAGTGAGGAGCGTTGTAACATCAGCTCCCGTCTAACGTTTCTTGTCCCACAAGAAATATTGTGATCTTCATCGTCGTCGGGGGCAGTCGCGAACATAATGATCTCCTCCACATCTGTAGCATGTCCGCCGACTGGTTCGTGATCCTTGTTCGGGGATACGTCCATCCCTGTAGGGATGACTGCGACACGAAGAAGTGGATGCGGTCGAGAAAGATGGTTGGGATAACGGAGATCGTCCGCTGGGTACGTGCGAACGAGGAGGGCGAGGTCGAACGGGAATTGGTTCTGGCAACGAGCGAGGAGTGGATGCGGGTATTCCATCAGTGGTGTATCCGAGGATGTGTCCAATGTCTTCGTCCCCATGCTCCCTCCAAATCTCCTGTGCTGTACGAGTGACCGTACTGCGCATTAATGACCAGACTTGGTCGACTCTGGTTCGGGCTCTACTCGTCCTTTCCTCTGCTGCGATGAGCTCTTGTCTGGCCGTCTGCATCCACTCGACCATTTCTAATGCTCATTGCATGGAAACCACCGCTTGTCGATCTTGCGGGCAATTTCGTAAGGCGACGAGGATATCTGTGAAGTCGACAGGAACACGGATAGCTGAGACCAGACGTGTGGCAAATTCTTGTTCGTCCGATGCGTGACTGAGTTCGATAGAAGGTGAGGGCGATGAGGCGCGGATAAAGGGTGTCTGTGCTCGAGAGGGTACTCCATTGACAAGCGTAGGCGATGCGGGTATGCTCATAATTGTGGAGGCGACTTCAGCGAGTATATTGTGAACAAGGTCGTCTATAGCGGAAGTGGGCATTGATGATATATCATCTTCTCCTCCTTTTATACCTTTCGGTCATTAAGGGGATCACGGTTATCTGTGATGTGAAATAGAATGTCGTGGATCCGGGTAATAATCAAATAGATGAAAATCCATTGGACGATAAAGAGTATTCCCACAGAGATAAGAGCTGCCTGATCAGTTCCAGGCATCGTTCTGATCACCCCAGCCGTTAGCGTGTGGGCTGTCTCACGTGAAGAGTGTGTGTTCGACAAGTCGTCTGATAAGGATTCGGTGGATGATCCAAAGAAAAGTGAGGGTTGTGCAGTGGAGGACGATTAGGAAGACGATGAGGAAAACCGTCGTGGTAGTCATTCCGGGTTTCTTCTCCTCTACTGGATTCTCCTGGTCCTTTTATATGCATCGAGGATTCGCTTGGCATTCTGTAAATTGTGGGTAGGTTCCCACGAGTTTTCTGCTGAAGAATATCCCTTCCACTTGACTAAGTACCTCAGATGACCTCGGTACGTCTTGTGATTCAGGATGGCTTCGACTTCATACTCTTCTTCGTTATCATCGACATCAGGTGGTGGGTTCACGTAATTCGGACCATGTATGTCGTTTTCACGATAAGGAGATAAAAGGGCAGCGTGGAATACGGAATGAACTCGCCAGGTCTTCGGGAGTTTGAGACGATAGTTGGCTGGTCCGATGACTTCGACAATTTCGAATGGCCCCTCACGCTTTGGTGCTATCTTGCGCGAGGCGTAATTGACCTTCAGGTTCCTCGAGTCTAGCCAGACCTTCTGTCCTAGTGTAAACTTCGGTGATCCTTGTCTGACTTGGTCCGCCATCTGTTGTCGGGCTAACTCATGCATGGCTAGTGCTTCTAGTCTTATCTTCTGCAACATGTCAAGCCTGGATTTAACTGATGGAATGTTCGTGGTCGGAAATACGGAAGGGAGTCCACGTGGTTTGTATCCCATCATGATGCGAAATGGGCTCATCTTCCGTGCCGAGTGTTCCCTTGTGTTATGACAAAACTCGAGGTCTGGCAGGCGGTTGGCCCATGTTTCAGGGTTGTTTCCGCAATAAAGTCAAAGATAGATTTCCAGCTCCTGGTTGACTCGCTCTGTTTCTCCGTCTGTCTGAGGGTGATAAGCTGTGCTCATTGATGATCTGATCTGGAGTAGTCGATTTAACTCTTGGAAAACCTTGGAGGCATATTGAGGTCCTCTATCCGAGATGATTCGGTCGGGTAGTCCAAATCGCAAGTATACTTTGTCATGAAAAATCTTGGCCGTTCCTTCGGCTGTGATCGTTTTGAGGCAGGGCGTAAGAATCACCCCCTTCGTAAGGTCATGGTCTACTATGACCATAATTGAATCAAAACTGTTGGAAACGGGGAGGTCGGTAATAAAATCGGTGGTACAACAGGAAAATGGTAATGCGTTTGGGTCGGCGGGAATTGGTTCCAAAGGAATACGAGTTGGATGAGTATTCAGTTTCATTTGTTGACAGGCGGCACAGCCTTCAACATAATTGTAGACAAATGTATACATGCCGGGCCACCAGAATTCACGACGTAACAGTTCAAGAGTATTGAACTTTCCAGGGTGACCCATGGCAGGGGAGTCGTGATGCAGTCGAACGAGGTCACGACGAAGAGTTTCGGATGGTGGAACGTAAATCTTTCCCTTGTAGAGGATGACACCATCGTGAACTTCCCAGTCGGAAAGCGATGATTTCATGGGGAATGGCCCTTTGTGCGCAATTGCTTCGAGGGCTTCGTGAACAATGAGGTCTTTTGCTGCGTGATTCCTGATTTCGTCGAATAGTGTCAGGGAAATGGATCGCACGAATAGTGCATTGGGTAAAAGAATGCAATCTTCATTGTCACTTTCACTGTCATCGAGTCCATTACGACGAGATAGCGCATCAGATTGGATCATCTGAGTGCCAGGGACATGGATGAGGTGAAGATCAAATTGTGATAATTTAAGACTCCATCGTGCTTGTCGGGGGTTTAACTTCTGAGCTGTACGGAAGTACGTGAGGTTCTTGTGATCACTGCGAACTTCGACGGGATGGGGAGAGCCTTCAAGATAATGGCGCCATTCAGTGAGGGCTCGAATGATTCCGAGGAGTTCGCGGTCGTAGATTTTGTAGTTCCGTTCAGCTGGATTGAGCATCTGTGAAATGTAGGCACAAGGATGGAGGTCTCCATTGATGTCGGCTTGGCGTAAAACTGCACCCATAGCAAACTTGGAAGCGTCAGATTCAACAATAAAGGGTTTTGCCTTGTCAGGCAATAACAGTACTGGGGCGGTACTGAATTGTTGCTTCAATGTGTCGAAAGCTGTCTGACATTCTGTTGTCCATTCAAAAGGTGGAGATCCAGTGGCAGTGCGCGTAAGATTCGTCAATGGTTTGGCAATATCCGAGAAGTTGGCAATAAACTTCCGATAGAAGTTTCCAAACCCTAGGAAAGAGCGAACACCTTTTACCGTGCTTGGTTCAGGCCATTCTGCAATTCCTTTAAGTTTGATAGGGTCCATGCCAATGTAGTTTTCTCGAATGATCATGCCTAGGAATTCAACTTCTTTAACGTCAAAGAAACACTTTTCCGGTTTAAGGAATAAGTCGTTATCTTTGAGTCGTTGGAGTACACGTCGGGTTCGAACGTGATGTTCTTCCAAATCATTTGAGAAGATGAGGATATCATCCATGTAAATGACTATCCATCCCTCATCGATCATGTCCTTGAAGAGTGCGTTCATCATCATTTGGAAAGTCGCCGGGGAGTTGCAGAGTCCAAAGAACATGACCATAGGTTCGAAAAGTCCGTGATTTGTCTTAAATGCGCCCTTCCATTGGTCACCATCTTTGATTCTGACATTGTTATATCCGGAGCGTAAATCCATTTTTGTAAAGACCGATGCGCCTTTAAATTGATCCATAAGGTCAGAAATGAGCGGAAGAGGATAGGCGTTCTTCACCGTCCCTTCATTCAGGTATCGGTAATCCTGACAGGGACATAGTGCTCCGTCTTTCTTTCCTACGAAGAAAAATGGTGAAGCCATGGGAGATTTCGACGGTCGGATGTATCCTTTTCACAGAGTCTCTTCCAGGAAGTCATCCATCGCTCCTTGTTCTTTGAGCGATAATGGATAGACTTTACAGTCGCGTGGAATAAAATTGGGTTTCAAGTCAATGGCGTGGTCCCAAGGCCTGGTTTCTGGAAAGCGTTCAGCTGCTTTCTTTTCAAAGACGGACTTCAAATCGTGGAGGTAGTTGGGGACCAACTCCTCGACGATTTTGGGTTTGTCTACAGCTGATGCTTCCTTGTGTGCCTGTTGTGCCAATTCTTGTGATTTACCAGATGGTTTGTAAAAGACCGTATTCTGTGCGTTACAGAATAATGGGGATCGAGTACTGTGTGTCATTCTTCTAATGGCGGGGCCTCTTCGTATGGTGAAGACTGCGGTTTCAGTCTCTTCATTCGTCAAAGGTGACTCCTTCCTGATGGGTTCAAATATCCCAATAACTGGCTCTCCTGCGATATAGGATATAACTAGATCGTCGTCATCGAGCTGATCCATAGGGGGTTCTGATGGTGGGTCATCTGGTTCGGTATCATTCCGCACTGCGGGTAACTCGCCACGCTCAGTGTTATCGGCCATGATTTCTCTGATAGATTCCGAATGCCCAAACGAGGTAGGGGAAGTTTCGGTGGTGATTAACTCTGGGAGTCCATCTTCCTTGAAAATTGAAACTTCTTCATCTGGTGCATCTTTGATGGTGGGTTTCGGTGGCCATTTGGCATCTTTACCAAACCAAAAGTCACCGGTTTCCCAGTTGATCATCGGATTGAGGCATTTAAGCCACAGCATGCCGAGAAGTATGTTTTCTTTGCCAATGCCAGTCAAGAGGAAGCGAGTAAGTGTCTTCTTTCCTCCGATTTTCATCATCTTCCAGGTACAATGAGTAATGGTACCCATTTGATTTGGTGTGCCATCTGCATTCATGACTTTAATCGGTTTCGGTAATTCCCATCTGATGAAATCGTTTTCTTCTGCAAAACGAATGTTCATGAACGTTTCGGCTGCACCGAAATCGATCAAGGCTTCTGTTGTAACGTCTTCCTTCTCTCCCAACGAAATATTCACAGTGATTGAATTTCCGCTAGTGTTACAAATAACGAGGGGAGATACGGTGAGATGCGACGGTTCATGCATTACTAGTGACCGTCGTCTCAAAAACCCAATTGGGTTCGTTCTTCATCAGTCATGTCATTGAAGACGTTTCGCATATAGGCGATCTGTTCCTCTCTGGTTTCTTCCTTCGATGTCTCCTTCTTTTGTGCGAGGTCTTCTCGCATCTTTTTGATCCATGTGATCGTGTCTGTGTCCAACCCGGGCTGTATCGTTCTAGCACGGGTGAAACTTCCAGACTGGGGGTGAAATTGTCTGTCGTTGGCTATATGGCCCTTCTTTCCGCATAGGAAACATAATCCTTCTTTCATTCGCTTCTGTCGCTCGTCCGGGGATAAGCGCGAGATATTGACACGATCAACATCCATTGCATTTGGATCCTTTGCAGAAGCCAAGTAGTAGGGACAATGGACAGATCGGCCCTTTCCTCGCGTTGTCGTAGTAGCTCCTCGCTTGAAGATCTGAGCAGATCTCCATTGGTTATCAAACCACGAGGCGTATTCATACCACTTGTCAAGTGTCTTGGGCATGCTTTCCATCCCATATATCCTTTGTCGGAGTGGGTCGTTAAGTCCCCACTTGAAATACTCGATATTTCCGGCATCTTCTAATTTCGCCTTGGATTCAATCGATCGGAATTCGGCAATGTAGTCGTCTGCAGTACGAGTTCCTTGCTTGATGTTATGCAGCAAGGTACGAGCGGTTTCTTCAATATTTTCATCGCCAAATGCTTTGTTCACACTCGCAATGAAGTCTCTCCAACTCCCATAAGAAAGGAAGTCGTCATTGGTGAGTTCCGTTTCTATGAAGCTCTGTGCCCATGATCCTGCTGTTCCTCCTTGCATGTGCGATAGCACGAATGTGATCTTCTGATTGTCCTCCTGGTAGACATGGCTATTTCCGGCCATGTAATTCTTGCATTGGTTTATAAATTCCCTAAGCTTCGAACGGTCTGAACCATTGAAGATCTCGGGTTTTCTAAAACCAAGTTCCTTCTGGCTGACATGGTGACGTCCTTCATCCATGGTAACTGTAGCCATCGGTGGTATGTAATCAAATATGATTGGTGCAAGAATCGGTTGGGGTATGGGATCCTGGACAGGCAAGGGGCGTCTGGTCTTTCTCCTGGATAAGAGATAGGTATGCCACTGTCTGCGATGTGTGATAGTACGAGCCCTCCAACGTTATGGGGTAGGGCTGCTTCGTAGTCACCACTTGGGTGATCAATGTGTTGATCTGGTCTGATGAGTAAAGGTCATCCGTTTAAAATGTGTACGTTCCTCTGTGCATCCCACTCTGCCTGAGATAAAAGGAGATCGATGTACTGCCTGGGAAGAGCAGTCGGTTTGATGTAGTTCAAAGCCAGCGTGGATAAATTCTTCTGTGTGGCCTATGTCTACATGTTGACTGCACACCATCCTCAACTAAGTGGGTTCGTTCGTCGTTGGCTAACAAGCCCGTAGAGTGTCTTCTATCTTCAAACTGATACACCTATTTGCTGATTGCTCGAGTGATTACCTCAGCCTCCTCGGCCTATTGGTCTCTCGGACAGACCTCTCTCCGAAGATGAGTGATCAGTCTATCCCTTCAGCTGCCTTAATTACAAAGTAATCTCAAACGGTGCTTTAGCAATCGAATCGGGTGTATCGTTCAGTCTTCAAGGTTCGGTCCGGTTGGTAGTTCGTTGTTAGACTCTAGGAAGTCACAGAGAGTAATAAGATCTCGACCTAATGTTACGCGGCAGTGAAACACGAGCGTCAAGTCGAGTTGTCACGAGACAAGGTCTTAGTCTAAGACACAAGTCCGTTCAAGTGACACTTCTGGCGATGTCCTCGCACTGAAGGTTGATCAGAGTTCGTTCTTATGACTTGTAGTAGCTGTCTGCTACTAACGGTCGATTTCAGTCAAAGGCAAGTGAAAAGCTGGTTTAATGGTAACCAGATCGAGATGGGGATCCAGCTCGACAAGGTCGTCTATTTATACAAAAGGTATCTGCAGTACTATGCAGTAATGCGGGATCCTTCATTGGCTAGATAAGGTGAAACAATATCTGGGCAGGGTAACGGCAAGAAAGTAATATGTATGAGAAAGCTGAGTAAGGTCGTGAGAGATAATCAGTACTAATGGGGATAACGAGTCGTGTATCAGAACGAGGTAAAGATGAGGCATACATGCACGTCTTGCATGTGTGATAAGAAGAAGGTCCGGAGTTGGATCCGGTGTAACCCCAGACTAGGGGTTCTGGACATCTGGGTAAAGAATCAGAGGTTGCGCTCCGATGAGTCACGTGTTGGATCACGTGGTCTGGTAACGTAAAGGGAACAAGGAAAAGAAAAAGAAAAGACGTGCCACAAGTGAGGAGCGTTGTAACAGTCAAGCTGGATCCCCATCTCGACCTGGTTACCATTAAATCAGCTTTTCACTTGCCTTTGACTAAGATCGACCGTTAGTAGCAGACAGCTACTGCAAGTCATAACAATAAACTCTGATCGACCTTCAGTGCGAGGACATCGCCAGAAGTATCACTTGAATGGACTTGTGTCTTAGACTAAGACCTTGTCTCGTGACGACTCGACTTGATGCTCGTGTTTTGCTGCTGCGTAACACATATATACTATAGGTAGTGATACCCTCCAAGGGTACAAGGGTTTGAAAATCCATACCCCTACCCTTACCCTTTGATACCCTTACCCTTGACCCTTAAGGGTTATCCATACCCTTGCTCTGCACTACTTATTCCACCGTCCAGACAAAATGTGGTTCCGGAGGACCCTCATCCACCATCCGGACAAAAATGTCAAAAAAATGCTGAACCATTATCCAATCCGGACAAAAACATCGGATTTGGCCTTTCGGCGCTTGGACATTTTTGCCTCCGCTGGATAAGGGTTCCTGGCTTACTATCACGTGGGCGAAGTTGCAAAATCGTAAAAATCAGCAACACTGCTGTCGCTGCTTCCACACCCAATAAATAAATCAGATAAAATTGTAGGACGATACTATACATCAGTAGATGTGTTCTACCAAGCCAGGGGTTCAGGCATTCCGGGATTGCTGAATGAGACGTCAAATACCACATTTGCAACTATGGTAGATGTACTAATATCAAAGATCTCTCTTGATACTGAGAATGACTGACCCAAGTGATGTTTGGGTGATAGCAATATGTGCTACAGCACTGTGTTCCACCATCCCGATAAGTGTTTTGGGCAATCAGACATGCTTCAGCCTGCATTTTGTAACACTCCCGATGAAAAGCGTGACGACGTATAGCCCGATATGGCAGCCGCGTGAGCGCTCCGTCCGCGAGATGAGCGTGACATCTGTGTGACAAAATCAGCAACACCACCCCCCGTCAACACCCACCACCGGCATCTTGCCGTCTCTCCCTCCTCACCACGAGAACATGTAAAAAAATTTGCAAAATGTAATGTGGAAGTGCATACATCTGCCCATGTAAAAATGAAGACAAAGCATCCCGGAATACAGAAGAGGAAGCCCGAGCGCTCAAAGATCGGTAACTCCCCCCTCATGATAGTATATTCCGAGGTCCTCGGCTAGGCCACGGCGCGTTACGGCCACCAGCGGCATATACCGAGGGGCACCGGCCCGGGCGTGGGAAGGTACCACGGGTCGGTCACCGGCCAAGCGCGGTGACCACCACAGCCCAGGACATGGGTGTATATCTCGGGGCGTCTTCGTTTGCTAGAATTACTGCTTGAAGCGGGCTGGGTGGACGTGAAGGTATTCGAATAAGAAGCCTATGGAAGTGTGATGGAGGTGTGTGCGCGCGACGAGGGGGATGACCGGCACCGGCTCGGGTACGTTGTCGTATCGTTTTTTATTCGCGGTTTTGCGTGTGCCATGGGCTGACTGGTGGTCAGGGTTGATGGCGCGTTTGAGCTGTGGGTAGACAAGCTCGAGGACGTGCTGCTGGCGTTGCACCCCTCCCGCCCGACGTGGTGATCCCACCAGTTCCCTTTCCCCGAGTGTTGCTCTTTGACGCGGACGGGGCAAACTCCAGTGCTCTCATGGGTCCGCTCCTGCTGGACTACCGATATCATACCGCGGCGATGTCGTGCAACCGCTGGATCACCGTGGAGGACTGGTACCAGGATTTGCGGCACTTTTGATTTTGACTTCGAGGAGGATGTATGGTGCGTGCATGCGCCCGGGTTGGTCATGTTCTGTTGCTGACGAGATGAGGCGGTGGGCAGGTATGAGCCTGGTGACGTCCTTGTTATCCACCCCGAAGCTGCAGCGCTGGATGTGGATGTGGTGCTTGTGATGCTCGGCTTCACGTTTAAGTCATTCGGAGGTGGCCTCGTTCTATACATGGCATGTTCTTGGACACTAACGCTCTATGATCAGGCCTTTACTACTACCTACTACCTTGGTTCCGTCGTCAAACCCAGCCGGGATCCCGAGGTTCACTTCAAATACATTCAGGTGGCCACCCGTACAGGCCATATTCGTGAGGTCGCTTGTAGTGAGAGCAACTACTACAACCCGGAGAAAGTCAAGAACTTCCTGAGGCAAAGCTTTCGGACCAACCTCTCATCATCGTCTGCGACCGCTTCGACTTCGTCCATGACCTCGTGCTGTACCTGTATCAGAATGGTCTCACCAGCTTCCTCGAGGTTTACTTTCAAACGGGTCAACTCGGTCAGGATGCCGCAGGTCATTGGGGGTCTGTTAGATGTCGAGACGACTATCGAGTCGTTGCTTTTGTTCCCGGCAACTTTCCTATCGGCAAACTCGTGAACGAGGTAGAAACAAGGAACCAGCTGAAGTTGATCCTTCCGTGGTTGGAGGCACACGTGCAGTCGGGAAGCCAAGACCCTGCTATGCACAATGCACTCGCGAATCTATATCGACTGGAACAACAACTCGGAGGCGTTCTTGAAGGAGAGCAATGTAAGTCAGTTCAGTCCTCACTGCTAACCCTTTCTAAAATGTGACCGTTCAGCTGTACGAGCCGCTGGTTGTCGGCAAATTCTGTGAGGCCAGAGATCCGTACCTTGCCTACACTGTGTACATGAAGGGCCTGTGTGACTGCGAGCTCATCGCCATCACGAATGATAACTTGATGTTCAAGCAACAAGCTCGCTATCTCATCAAGTGTCATGAACTGGGACCTTTGAGCGCAAGTTCTTGCACCGGACAACATGCATTGCCGTCAGCTGATTGATCAGGTGAGATTTCCGCGTCGTTTTCGTCTGATTCTCCTACTAACTTCACTGCAACTAGATCATTGCAACTGCCCTTCCTGAGTCTACAGACCCCGATGATGTGTCCGTCACTGTGAAGGCATTCTTCACAGCAGATCTTCCCATCGAGTTGACCGAGCTGCTCGAGAAGCTCATCCTCGAGCTTTCACCATTCAGTGACAATCACAACCTTCAGAATTTGTTGATGTTGACGGCCATTCGCGCAGACGAGGGCAAGGTCATTAGGTACATCGACAGGCCCAAGAACTACGATATCGCTAGGATTCCCAAGATCGCGACCGACCATAGTCTGTATGACGAGGCATTCCTCATATACAAGAAGTATGAACGGCACGCCAGGGCCATCAACGTGCTCGTCGAGCATATCGTCTGGACCCTGGCGTTGAGTATGCCGTTAAGGTCAACAGGCCCGAGGTGTGGAGCAGGTTCACGAAGGCACAGCTCGATGGTCTGCGAATCAAGGATGCCATCGGAATCTGGGCGTGAACATTTCGGGTGCTAATCCCAGATAAATGTTTGCAGGTTCGTACATCAAGGCTGAGGATCCCTCGAACTACACTCAAGTCATCGAGATTCCTAGTCACGCTCGTAAGCATGACGACCTCGTCAGGTGCCTCCGGATGGCGTGCAAGGCTCTGCCCGAGCCTAAGATCGCCATGGAGTTGGCGTACACCTGTGCGAAGACGGGGCGTCTGCACGATATGGAGGCCTTCTTGGGTGTAATGAATGTTGTTGACATTCTTGAGATCGGAGACAAGTGTTTCGAGGACGAGCTTTATCAGGCGGCGAAGTTGGGAGCACAAACAGTTTAAGGACGTGATCGTTCATGTCGCTAACGTCGAGATGTAAGTGTTAGCTTTGTTCAATCTGTAGCATCATGGTAGCTATTACAAGTCGCTTACGTTCTATCTGCAAGAAGAACCGACTCTCCTGACACATCTTCTCGCTGTCTTGATTCCTCGTACTGACCATGCCCGCGTCATGACGATGTCCACCCAGATGGACCACATCCCCCTCATCCACTCGTATCTTATCGCCATGCAACATGTGAGTTATTCAATACTAAAGGACAAGTCGAAGTTAGTCTAATAGTTTTCAAAGCTGAACATCGAGGCTGTCAATACCGCGTTCAACGACTTCCTCAACGAGGAGGAAGACTACATAACGTTGCGGGACTCTATCGACGGCGTTAACAATTGCAACAATATCAAACCCTGCTCAACAGGACAGTCGAGGAGATGGAGGACGACCGCAGGGGCGAACGCGTCGGGCGAAGATCGTGAGTGTGTCTCGTACTTTGCGCCACGAGTATCAATTTACCTTGCCTCGCCGAAAGTGTCGACATCCATCAGCACGCTATTGTCCGCAATGTCGCCCTTGACCACTTCGTCCGTGTCATGTCTACCTTGCATCTTTGGCTGTGCCACTCAGCATTCGTCCGCCGGTTCTTCGAGCGCGTGCTCGCGGACGAGACGCGTTGCCTTACGAAGATCGTATCTTCCCCACACTGGTCTTCAAGTATGCGGATGGGACGGCTCTTCTGGAAGAGCTGGTTCCCCGTCGGTGAGGACTTGCTCGACGTGCTCAAGATGAATCTGGCTGCAGTGCTTTTTCGGCTGCACAAGCGACACATCAAACAAGGCCTGACGTGCTTCAGGCTCGGCGGTGTCGCGCGCGCGCTGAGGTGGCGCACCATGAGCAGGCTGGAGGATGAGACACTCGCGATCGTGATCCTGCTGGATGTGGATGCATTCGAGCTGGTGAGCCCCCCTCCCGGAGGTACGCTCTTCAGAAGTATCTGCATTGGGCCCGGCTTGCAATGACGTTCGTCTATCTCGGTGAGAACCAGGCTGCAGTGGAAAGTGCGCGGAAGGCCGAAAACACTCAGTCAGAATGATTTGCAGGTTCGCAGGCTTCTGAATTCTGATCCACCGTGTTATCTCGGATATAATTCAACATACCGCGCTCAACTTCCGCGGGCACGTAGCCTCTTGTTTGCGTTCGACCACGCTGCAACGGCGAGGTGGATTACTCTCAGATTAGTTATTATGTACTTCGCTGTGGCATTGTTGAGATGGACAGGCCCCGTGACCATACCTCAATCTTGTCATGACCTCCACATCGCCCTTCATTTGCTTATCGGTGAGTTCTTTTTCGTGAACATTGACATGTGCTGTATGTGCTACCATTGACAGTGCAACTCTACAAATTTCTTTTCTTATGTACAATGCCTAACACAATCCAAGCTAGCGCGTGTGGCGAAGTTCAAGTTGCAATAAGTCTTTCGGTAGAAAGAAGGGTGCACCCTCCGGTTCTGTTTTTGTTGGATCTAGTACCGCAACCCCTTACCCCCGCGCCAAGATGAATGGAATGGATTGTCAGTGCGATGTTGGTGCAGTATCTCATCTTCTAGCGGACGCTGCGCTCAAGGTCTGGCCGTTAATCACAGTGCACACCATAGAAGGGGCACGGCCCACCTATCTGGATCGGACAGGCATGCGCTCTGCGTTTCAGCATGTCTCTCTCTGTACGCCAGGAGACGCAGGAACGGGGGTCATGAACACCTCACTTCGTACGCGTGGCTGCTCGGCGTGCAGTGCCCTTCATCGATTCCCAAGTAATGCGAGCACACAATAGACAGAACTTGACCGTTTCCAGGTTCTCAACGTGCTCGAGCACCACTTCGATTCGCTCGTGACGATCGTCCGCCATATCACCTCATTCTCCGGTCCATTCCTTACTGACCACATCGGGGCTCGAGGCGTTTCCTCTCTATCCTGGTGTCACAATCGCCTCTATCAGTCACCACTGGTCTCCGTCGACTGCGCTCTCTAAGATGCCTTTTCTGTAGCTACGGATGGTCGAGGCGCTCTTTTTCTTGACCTGAAAATTTGAACGATCTTGCAGTTTTCGAGCCAAGCATTTTCTATTTGCCTTGCGAACGTGAAGGACGATAACATTACGCCTATCCGCCCTCGAGAACGCCACTTTGAATAAGGACAATCGCCATTTGAGGTCACACCCTTTGCTCGTCCCATACAAGGGAAGGATGGCTGCAAAGAATAACCGGAAATCTTTGCAAGCTGTTCTCCGAATGCACCTCCTGGACTACACCGAGGATCTGACGCGCTTGTTTGCAGAAAAATGTAATCGGTATGATATCAACCATGGTCATGGTCGAGGGATTGTCGTTTTGAAGCTTTCTTGCGGGTATCTCAATTCTACCATTTTTTTTTCTCAGACCTGCATGTCCATATCTGTGGCTGAGCGAGTTCATTACCGATTTGAACATCTGATTTTGGCCAACCAAAATCAGGCTCAGGTGTGCAGCGAGACTAGGCGGCCTTCACTGATTGACATATATTAATCACACACTACTTACAGTGCAAAGTCCCGGACTGTCCTCATATAGGCTGATGGCGCTCGCCCGGAACTCGCTAAAAGTATCAAGACGTCCCTCGCGTGTGCCGAGCTGGCGTTCTTCTTTGTCTATGAAATCCGCCCATGGTGATTAGCAGCCATCGGAAGAGGCGATGCACCTGACTGCGGGGATGCTGTTCATTGCAACGATGTGGTCGATCAACGACGGCGCAGCTCTGAAGATCGTGGAGGAAGCGTATACGCACCATTTCAGGACCCTTGACTCGGAGCTCCAGCCTGATAGCAGAGATGCTGCGTTTGCGTGGTACAACATCATCCGGAGATTGCGCGAGGGGCCCGAGTTCCATATCTTCACGTCGGGCTACGAGCGCATTCTCCAAAGTTTTGAACTGCTGCTGCTGGCCGGCGCACGTGAACTGCGTTCCAACCGAGACGTGCATGCCCTTGTGTCACGCCATACACAGTCGCATTGGACTTCGTCAGTGTCCAGATGAAAAGCCAGAGGTCCTGAAAAGTGAATATCGTTCATAATGATGATCTAGGAAATTTAACTGAACACGTCTATTAATACAAAAAATCAGTCGAGGTCAACCAGACAAAAAAGGACCGCATACACCTGTACGAATCGTCCGGATGACGCATGACGGCACTGAGTGGGCTGAACGCACCCCACACCTCGTGGACACGATGGCGCTGGCGAACTGTGAGCAAGACGATCAGCTTAGACCCCGTAGATCAAGTCTCGTGTCTTTTCAAATTCACCGAACACTTTCCACCTCCACCACGTAGGACTGTGTTCAGAGAAGGTAGAACAGTGACGTCGACCCCGACCGATCCCAGCATAACTCCCTTCCCTCCGCGGCTTCATCTGCGTCGCAAGAACCAAAGTCACGCCGAGCGCAGTGTCCCTCAGCCTGACCCTCCATTTCGTACCCGAGCGTGCGGGTTTTGGCTAGCAGATTCTGCCACCGCTGTTTACGCGCCAAAACCTGGAAGTTCGCGGACATCGTTGAGCCTGAAGTTGAGTGCTAGCGGCGAGGTGAATCTCCACGTGTGAGCTAGTTACGAGAGACCGCAAAAGCACAGCGGGTGGATGCGAGAGCAGATGGCAAGCAGAAGGTGAGGAATAACGAAAGCAAGTTCTCGCGCGGGTCATTCATCTGTACAGTAACAGTGCTGTTCGTGCTGTTCGTGCTGCATGGGTGGTAGCAGGGGAATAAACTTTCCAGTAGGACGTAAGACTGGAGAACTGCAGAGCAACAAGGAAAGGAAACACACGAGAAATTTGACAACACCAAAGACCTAGAAGACTTTCCTTCGTCGCAGGAACAGAAAAACAAATTACTATCGAGCATCAAATCTGGACGATGTCCCAGCACAAGGAGACCTCGAGGCGCAATCTACATGTGAAGGGTCACAGCTAAACGTGAGTTGACAGTGGTGGAAACGAACGATGTACACAGAATCTTGAGTGATGCTTGTCGTCGTCCCAGTCGGCCAATAATTTGAATGAGTAATGGATCTGACGATTCGACACTCACTCTCGCTGCTCCATCTGCCCTCGAAATAAACATCTCATCATCCACCGTTGGCGTCCAGATTTGTTCGTGATCTAGTGATTTCTGGGACGACGACTTCGATCTCGTCGATCTTGTCAGGTAACATCGGTGTAGGGATGAGCTACAGTGACCTTGACCAAAGCGTCCGGGATATGAGCGTCTAGACTCTGCCCTGAACTCACTTTCCTGCTGGCACAGCTGGTCGATGAGGATTAGTTTGTATCTTGGTCTTTTTCGTTCCGTGACGCTTGACGGTTCGAGGATTCACCCTGCTGCATCATAGCATCCGCAGGTAATTCTTCTGCATTTACATGTCGAGTCAATAGTACTGATGGACATCCGCACCAGCTTTCCTGCTTCACCACCATGCAATAACCTTTCCTGACAAGATTGACTACATGTGGAGACGCAAAACATCCGGAATGACGATTTCTTCCCTTTGAACCGTTTTCTCCTTCGTAATGTCTGTGAGCTTTGTGTTGTTGCTACCCTCGTGGAGTACAAATCCCGTAAATACTAAATACTACTGCTCGTCCACTCACCATCTACTAGAGGTATGGTCATTTATTCAGGAGAAATAGAGAGCTACTCATTCTCTCGCCTTGACAGCTGTTATATCTACTAGCTGAAGCCTATCTCGATGCGCTTTCATTGTCTGAGCTGGTACGTCTCGATAGCGGCTTGACATCTCTCACAATCATCACCGATCTGAAGCATTCTCGGCTCTCTGAGTGTATGCAGTAGGAGGTCGGGCTTGACTTCCTGCTGCAGTAGTGTCTTGGTGCGTTTTGCAACAAACCTGGTAGTGTTGATCCCGCTGGAGTCTATGTAGCATGCACTGACTTGTGACGTCTCAGTATAGCCATGCCACCATATCCTATTTCGTCGCCGCCATCCCCAAAATGTTGGTGTACGTATCCGCTCTTTCGAGTCGAGTCTTCTGCCGATCAACTTGCAGATGTGCGCTTTGTTCATTGTGTACAATGGGCATGTCACCCACTAGACTCTGCTGATCCTTCGACAGTCACCATTGCGACACGAGGTAGTAGCGTCGTGGCCGACATCATTGTCCTTGTGGTAACCTAGATGAAGACCTATAGCACCAAGAGATATGTGAACTTGGCACACATGAAAGTTCCGCTGGCGAATCTCATGTTGCAGAATGGTACCATTAATCGAACATGTCAGCTCAGTCTTCCGCTAATTCGCACAGGCGTGCCGCACTTTGCAAGCACTTTGGGTGTGTGCAACATACTCTTGATGAAGCATTAACATTCAAGGTGACGGTGCATTTACAGGTCACTTCTTTTGCATAACGTTGCCCAAATACTGTCGACTACTACGGCATGCATTCCGCAGCCAACCTATTCCGCCTACCATTGACATGCTTTTCCCGTGGCAGGCCTCCGCGTACATCATCTCAATGTGAGCCCTAGCTGACCCTAAGTCCTACAGGTGTCACAGTGTTCTACAGGGCCTCAGAGACTATATGACTACAGTACTAGCCAACACTAGCCAGTTCTCCTGTAGGAATGGCCTTTTTACAGAGTGCTACATAATCGGGGACATTGCTACAGGCCTCTCGGGCCTACGTGAGCTACATAGCATGACATAGGTATTGTCCCTTTCTCAAATGAAGATTAAACTGGATCAGGTCCACTAACTGATTTAGTCTTTATTGATTCGATCTCAGTCCAGTCTCAGTCTTTGAGGAGTCCTAGGACTAGATTTTGCAACACTATACAATAGCCCAGACTATAGAGCCTGAAGTTGATGCCATTTAATTGAAAATGACTTCAAAAGTTATAATCTCCAGTAAAGCAACTAGTTCATGAGCCAGTCACTAAAAAAACAGGATCAGATTTTCTTCATACTTTACATATAGTAAACTTACTTATCACTTTGTAAGATGACCTTGTTTTCAAAACTGTTAAAGGAGGCTATAGTTTTGGAGATGTAAGCATTGATGCCACAATCCACTTGTGATAAAGGATTTATAATCTTGAGTTTCTCCCATGCTTGAGCAAAAAACTGATAGAATGAAACATATCTTTGAATCTCTATCTCCAAGATTTTCACCTCTTCAGTCCATCTATCCATGTTTGCTTTACATTCAAACCATTCAACTCGCTTTGCTATTTAATTATTTTAATAATGAATCAACTTAACTAGCAAAGCTTACTAACCTTCCAAATTCCACTGATATAACTTTTTTGAGTCTGTGAATTTGACCTTCCAGATCCAACTAAGATTTTGATATCCTCTTCCTAAAATTGAATTTATAAATGGCTTGCTTTGTAGATCTTGTTCTGTCATAATAGGATAGTGGGCAAGATCTATTTCTGAGTCTAATTTCTTCAAAGCCTTGTGTGCTTCATTATAAATGTTTTGAGAAGTGTAAAGCAGCGAGGATAATTGCTTGATACGCCTATTTGCTCGTGTATTGACAAGTTTTGGTCTTTTTTGACCTGATTTGTCATAAATGAGAAACGTTCTTTGTCGTAGAAGCATCTGAGCATCTTGTAATGCATCTTGAAGTTGACCCATTCGAAGTTGTTTTTCTAAAGCAGCAAGTTCTTGAAGCCGATTATTTTTGACTACATCATTGGAGAGCATGGAAGGCATTATGGGCGAGTTGATCTTGTGCTTTTTAAACAATGGTGACTCTTCCTCTAGCTGAACCAAAGGCATATAGATATTCTTGAGAGTTTCCCAGGATGAATATTGCTTAGAATACTCTGTGATCAATGAAATAGTTTGAGTTGGATCACTTTCAGCTAATATCTGATAGCTGGTAGAATTAATAAGTCATGTGTAACTTTCTCAACTAGAAATATGTTACATACCTAAGATTTTCCAGCTGAAGTGCTTGATGTACAAAAGTTGTCATGCCCTGAGAATTTAATGAACTTGAATTTGGACTTTTAGAACATATGAGGGTTTCAAAAATCTGTGTTTGAGAAGGTACTTTGTGAAATGCATTAGAATATAAGAAAGATCACCATTAATCTGAATAGACTTACATAAATCACTTCTCATTCTATATACACTCTGAATATTTGCTCCATTTATTGTGAGGGTTTTGTCCATGTCTTTCCATGTATCTACATGTTCTTGACTTGCAGTAGAAAGTTCTTCAAATTCTTGTGAAACTTGTGTCAATTGATTAGTTGCATGTTGCAACTTTGATTGTAATGTTTCACCTAATAAAAATTGAGTAGTAATTTATATATGCATATATCTAACTTACCAAGTGTTGTAGTCTTATCAAAATTCAGAGCTGAGTGCTGATTATTAAGCACATCATGCCGATGTCCACTATCCATTTCCTTTGTACTTTCAATATGTTCATTATCTTGCTTCCAGACACGTTCAGGAGCCTCTCCATCAGTTCTTCCCACACCTTCAGTATAATTGAATGAATACTGCAATTGACAGACTTCCTTATGCCCCAAAATATGCATTTTGGGCACAAGAAAAACCAGTTTGTCCAGAAGAGGAACTAAATCTGGAAAGTGTGTTGTGAAGCGTTGACGTATGTTGACACAATATCCACAAATTTCATCATAGGAAAGATAGATCTTGTCAATATTTCTTGCCTGCTTGAGGACACCAGCAAGTGCATAATCAACATTGGCAAATCTGATAAATTTATATAAGCAGAAGTATAAAATATACAAATGATTTACCTTTCTCCCTTTTGTAGATCGACTGTTCCTTGTGGTAGAAATAAACCATGCCTTGAACAAACAACAGAGACAATTCCAGTAACATCAAGTCCAGTTTTCTTCTTATACATGTCTTCAACAACTTTAGAGGTGTTGCATGTAATCACCTGTGAAAATGGTGAACAAAAAAAGTCAAGTTATAACAGGTATAAAGATCTACCTCATAATCATCAACTGCTTTCTTTAAATATTCATGGAAACGTTGGTTATTTGGAAAATAGCCCACACCATCAGAAAGTGCTTGAGTATGTTTTGAACTGTTTTTATGTTTTCGAACAAGTCCACGATTGCCATCCATAGCAATGAAAAGTGCTGTATGTTGCCTATAGATCTGTTCAGACAACATATAAGTAAATAAAAGGACAATTCACATACTGCTCCACTTGATTGATTATAGCTGTCGTGTTAATACCAAAATGGGGGCAAGCAGGACATAGGACACAAAGTTGATTTTGATAGCATGAAGGTAAATGATCTGAGATTCCTAAAGCTTGTCCACTTCGCTTCTTAGCCTGAAGATGTTGCCACAGTCTAGACACTCGAAGAAATTCTCGATATCGGCTCTGTCAAACATTGTCAGTAGAGTTGGATGAAAATCAAATAACCTTAACATACTGAAGTGGCTTCAGGTGAGATACGATCGGTCAGTCGCTCTAGCTTGCGAATATAGTCATATGCTGTAACCCGAGAGCATGTGGTATCCATATGAAAATCTCTGAGCATTTTCTCAGTGAAAACTGTGCGAGGACGCTTAGCAGTTGCAGGGAAAAGACCATGTTGGATTAGCTGAATAGGATAACCTGAGCTTTGAGGGCAGCCACAATAGACAATAGTACATGGAACAACTCCATTGGTGTCAAGCACAGTAAAATGCTTCTTGGCACCACCAAGGGGACATTGCACACCACCGTGGCCTAGAAAAACCACTAGCCCTAATTGCTGGAGGGATGTTCGTTGGAAATAAGTCCCCGTCCAGGTTTCAACAGAGTGAAATGGAGTATCTTGATGCTTCTGCACAAGACATGCCGCACACATGACTTCTGCCCTCCAACAAGTGCGACAGCGTGTTGTAGCAACACTTCCCGAACTGCCACATTGCTGACATGATGTGCCCGTCGTAGTGTCGCATTCACGGGAGAATATACTTGCAAGAATGTCCTTCTCCATGGCCAAGAGGTCATCAAGTGGTTCGTCTTTGGCAAGCTTCAAGTACATGAGTCAAGATGCCCCGAGAAATAGTAATGACAAGCGTACTGTATTCTGCTCGTCGGCATCCTGACTACCGCCATCCTGTGCGTCATCCATACCAACACCAGTGACTGCGTCATCATCTGCAGTCTCCTCGTCAGTGAGGGCACCATCTCTAGTAGGATCATCGGGATCCGACATAATCCAGTCCTCGAGCGGGTCGATCGGACGGCCTTCATTGTGACCTCCGAATGTCGTTTCCACCACATCTCCTCCGAGCAACTCGACCTGTGGCTCATCAGCCAACGACGAGCTGATTTGCCTTCTTCGAATACGACTAGATTTCATGGATATTGCGAAAGGATCAGGTATGGATCAAGTATGAATGAAGTGTGGAAAGACGCGCAATCCACGGCGCCAGAAGAAATATCGTCACGGAGCAAATGTTGTGCGACGTTCCACAGACACGTGGAAGTCGCTGAAAGTCAAGTAGACGCTCCAACTGGCCATGGTCAATGCCAAAAGCGCGTTGCGTCTTGCATCTCTCCGCCTACTTCGTCGACACCTCCGCGAGCCTGACTCCGTAGTGCCCAGGCGGCAATGGCGAGGCTTCGAAGAAATCTATGCGTGTGTTATCTTGCGGAGAAGACCAGGTAGCTACCTCTGACTCAGCCACGCTGCCACAGTCCACAGCCGATTTTCCACCGGATCAGTTTCCTTGAACCACCGCAGTGAATGCGGTGCCCTTCACCGCAATGCAAGCGTTCTTCTCGGATCCATCTCCGCGTACTCGAACAGCCTTGCACTGACCACAGCACTGCCATTCCAAGCCGACGTCTAATTTCTCAACTTTCATTTCGTGAATCTATTCTGCCGCACTTAGGTCGCCTGCGAGGGTAATTGATCGATTCGCAGGAGTAGTGTGTAGGCGTCCCAGTGAGGGTGCAGAGCAGTGGTCCACAGCCTGTGTCAGCACACCGGGTAAGATAGTCTGAGAAATGCTGGCCTGTTGTGGTCCATAACTCTAATGTGGATTCGTTACTCAAGCATGCCTTCTACTTATTAAAACCATCCCACAACTTAGGTCCATATGGTCTTCTCCGGGTTTATGCTGTCGGCTGCTGTATTTCGACATCTTGCGAATGGCCTTGTATCCAGTACCGCATGTCCCTTCTACAAGACGAAATGAACGAAATGGGACACTCCGGCGATGTAGGTGCGTGACCTCGTCTTCCTGCGTCTCAGACTTGGCCGTCTAACCACAGCACACAGCATATAGAAGGCGGATAGCCCGCACATATGGACTTCGACAGGCGCGCACTGCGGGATTCACACGTGTTTCTCGCCCTAAATACTAGAATACATAGGAACAGGTGTCATGAACACCTCACTTCGTACCCATGCCTACTCGGTGTGCAAAGCTCTTCATCGGTTCCTATCGCCCAGTAAGGTAATCACACGATAGACAGAAGTTGACCCTTTCGAGGTTCTCAGCGTGCTCGTGCACCTTCACCCATGTAGATTCGCGAGTGGCGCTCGTACATCATGTCACATCATTCTCGTATCTATTCCTTACACTCCGCATCGACACTCGAGGCCTTTCCTCCCTGTGTCACAGTCGCCGGTTCGCTCGTTTTTCAGGACCTTGAATGATCTTGCAATTTTTGAGCGAAGCATCTTCTAACTGCCTCGCGAACATGACGGGCGATAATATTACAAGTTTGGTCCCGTTCTAGATGTGCGCTGTTGCCCTTACTTATCAAAGCTCACCGCTCACGGTAAACCACCCACGCTCGCAGTCCCAGGTGCGCCGTTTGCAGGTTTAACATTCTGAATGTACCTACGCGACCTCGAGGACGCTACTTTGGATGAGGACAATCCTTTTGACGTCGCAAAGTTTGCTCGTCGCATATGCTGCGAGGGATGACAACAAAGAATTAGTGGAAATTCATGGACTACACTGAGCATCATACTTTTTTGATGTCATTCGGCGGATCTTGTCGCGAAAGGCGGATGCCTTACGGATGGCGATATCCTCGTTTGTACCACTGACGCGCTTGTACGCGCAGAAACCTCAATGTAACGCGTGTAATTCTAACCTTGGTCAAGGGATTTTGGATTTAGAGGCCCGCTCTACGTAGTTGAGAGTAAGCTATGTCGTCTTGCACTTTCTCGATTCCATCACATTTTCCTCAGACCGGTATGTCCATGCTTGCGACTGAGCTCATTCATCACCTACGTGAATATTGATACTCGTTAACCACAACCAATCCACTAAGGAACGTAGTGTGCGGGCCCTGCGTATTATCAGGCTGGATGTCTGGGTCCCGCCTGAAAAAGTGTGCATACACGATACACGTCTCTACCTGCAACGATCAGTCACTGATCGACCAGACCTGGCGCCAGCCAGGACGAGAGGCGTCCTCGCGGTGCATCTCCTCCGATAACCGTTGGGCCCAGGCGGCGGGTTTGTAAGGCGGAGGGGAAGCCCAGTAAAAGGAATATCTTGACGATTTCATTGTGTTCTAGGCGGGCATGGTTGGCCAGGATGAGCATGCGCTCTCCAGTCGGGCTACTCGCTTCTGCTCACCGTAGCACGCGAAGGACGTCCAGCTCAAGGTGTACTTCACGTCACGGCGTATACTATCATGAACCCTCCTCCAGGGCCATCAGGAAAACTACACATTGTCTTGAGCGTCTTGGACGAGACGTCCAAGACACTCAAGACCAAAAGACGAGTGTCTTGCCCAAGACGGGTCCCTTTTCTTGGGCAAGCAGCTTGGTCTTGAGCAAGATCAGTAAGACGGTCAAGACACTACAAAAGACACTGTCAAGACTGTCTTGTGTGGTCTTGCTCCCATGTCATCATGTCTTAGGCCATTCAAATAATGTCAATAGAAATATATATTGCCCTCTGATATATTGCCTATCACTACTGCCATCCATCAATACAGTATCTACACCCTCTGCAACTTGAAATTCATTGAAGCTGGAACAAGGCAATTAGTGACTGAACGACAACAGAAAAATGGCATTCACTTACTAGCCATGGCCCATTGTGCGAAACTTGTCTTAGGCATACCTTGTGCAATGTGAGAGCGGGCAAACTGAGTCCTGCCCGAGCAAGCTGATCTGCACACACACGTGAATCTGCTCGCAAATAAGTACATCAGCACCCTCATTTGAAATCGCGGCAGGGAATTGGAGTCAGTCGACAATCCGAGATACGAGCATTGGCGCGCGTGCAGAGCCTGTGGGAGTGGCGGACACAGATGCCTACCCTGGCTGGCCGTGTGCATGGATGTCGGGTGCGAGCACCGCAGTAAATCTGCACATGAACGGGCAGGGGACAACGGCTCGGGCCGGCATCACGTCAGCCATGGATTGCGCTCGGTGGAAGGTGCCTGGTGAACATCAGCGATGTCGGCAGGCTCTTCGACATTGGGTTCTGGGGCACCAGGTGAGAAAATTCAAAGGGAATCAGCGTCCGCAGTGCAAGAGAAAAGAGGAGTCCTTACATATGAAACCGTTGAGATGTGTCCATTTGGAAAGACATGTCGGCCTGAAGGCGAGACTGAATTCTCCTATACTTGTTCCACGCTCAGAGGTATTGTCATACCTCTTCCCAAGACGTTATACCCTATCTCAGTCCATTCAAATCAATTACTTTTTGTTGCCTTGTCAGGAGAGCTGTCGCTCGTCTTCCGAATGGAACAAGGAAAAGTTCAAACGTGGGAGGATCAGCACACCTCGGGGGTATTCCCCGCGAATCTTGCAAGGATAACGAATTCCTCAAAGCAGCAGGAAGGACGTACAGTGAGAGATGAGAGTTCAGTCGCAAGTATTCCGTCAACAAGCGATTCTTTGTCGCCACCGTCCAGCCTGACATCGCTAGACTCGTCTGCAACCGCCTGGAAGGCTCAGAACCGATGTCCGCCGGCGAGTGCCTATTCTCCAGAAGGTATTAATTCCAGACCTGGGAAATGGCTCTGATGTCGTTTCAAACGGAGGTTCAGACCGGGTTTAAGGTGTAGAAGAAGGATACATTCCAAATCGGGCAAGATCTTGTAGAACCCGCTTCTTCGCTGGACTTCGGACGTTGGCTCACTCAGCTGATTCTGGTTCACTGGCAGGCCGCATCGGCGCGGGAACATCACTACACTAGGTCGGACTTGATGTGATCACCGCTGAAGGACGTCCACAGGGATATTCTGGAATTTATGCGCTCCTCGACAGCCATGATGGAGTCTAACTGACGTCCACATGCGAAGGTTCTCTATCTGATCGGAAGCAATGGTCGAGATCTCTTTTTCTCTGGTTCAACAGGCTCTGACGGGCTGGAATGGTCGGTGGGTGTACAGTGTCCCTTTTGGTTGCTCTCTCCCTTGACATCGGTCGGCCTTCGTAGGTGAGAAAGCCTTTGCGATGTGTAAACGTCGACGCTCGCTAATTCCATCGCTTACTGTCATGGGTGGTGCTCTTTTCCTCCGCGCTTGCTTAGGGGTTCGTCCAGTAAGTTCCTACGATGCGTCACCCATGGTACGTGAACGATGACACTATCTGGTTCCATCGTTTACCGTTATAGGTAGTGGTATTTCCCTCTTCACTTACGCGGAGTTCGCATGACTCAGTGGCCCTCCGAGCACACATGACCGACCATAACTCGTGAGTCGCTTTTCGCTGCCTGTGACTATAATAATGTCGACGCTCTGACAAGGTGAAAGGCAGTGCGGTTGCGTGGCAAAGTAAGGAACATCCGTGCGATGGTGATGGACAGCGCGATGGAAGCTATCTGCTTCATTCTCCACTCCGCAGGTTGGTCCTGAAGCGCGGGACCGTGAGCCCAGGAATATTCGGTACAGTACATATCCAACAAGGGGGTGTGCTTTCTTGCGCTCTCCCTTCGCATCTGATTACCGTCGCGCCAACTGTCTATGGCAGCTTTTTCCATGGAACGTGCTGCGCAGGTTGGCGTCACTGTCGGCCGTCGCGCTTTCGGTCTCGTTTTATTTCTAGATTTTCTAGCGACCGATGATGGCTCCACGAGCGAAAACGCCGTGAACTGGCCAAGTCAATGGCCATGAATGGTAAGAAGTGCCTTATCGCTTTGCCGCACGGCTCTGCGTGATTCCTTCCCTTCTGGCGACCATTGTATTTCGGATAAATGGTCATACAGCTTGTTGTCACGCTTGAGCTGAAGGACAAGTCTTGAAAGGTACGCTTATTCGAAATTGCGGTAGTTCTCCTGCTGATTTGGGAGGTCAGGAAGGACCTGGAGCAGGGTTTTCCCTGTATTCCTTCGGTCTGTGACAGTCATCTCAGCGCGCTTCTCACTACGCCGGTTTCCT